TCCTTTTTTATTGGCAAAAATCACAATGGTCACTCTTCAGTATTTATTTTTCAAAGAATTATCTTTTAAAAGTGTAAACCTCAATGTAATCCTTTTTGATGCACAATTAAAAATTATTGGATTAAAAAAGATGGTGCATTATTATGAAAAAAAGTTTTCTCAAAACTTTTGAAGAAAGACTGCTTTTATATATATATATATATATATATATATATTTTCTTTCTCTTTTCATAAATGCCAAAATTTTTATTAAAATCCAATAATTAGATTAATTTTGGAAAATTTTAAAAATCAATGTTTTTACAACCTCCCAAAAAATATTGGTATTTTTATATTGGCAATGTTTACACAAAGTAGACAACATTTTTAGATGCAAATATTTCTGATTCTACTTAAAATCTAGGAATGCTATTTATATCACATTTTTCCCATTCTTTCAACTTTTGTTTAGTAGAAAGGAAAAAAGAAAAAAACTACCATCAAGTTAAGTTTTATATGTTTGTAGTTTTTTTTTTGTTTTTTTTTTTTTACTTGGGTATCAAATTTTCTGTCATTAAAATTGTAAATACCCTTTTAAGATAAAATTCAATCCTCTTAAAATATTCTCAAAAACTGTGTTAGAAATATTAGCTTAAATAAAACTTGTTTAAAGTTAGTTTTTTATAAATATATCTTGTGCCGATTAACGTATTTCTGTAAAAATATTAATACTGCCTAAAATAATACTCTACAAAGTTCAGGATTTAATTAGCTTTTTTTTTCCTAGGACTAATAAAGAAAAATATTTTTTTTAGTTATGTTAGTAGTGTACAATTTATTCTACATTTTGCTTTATTCTTTTGTTGAACATTGCCTCTTTTGTAAATCAGTTCAATTTCATTATTAATAAACAGATAAAATATCTATTATAAAACATTTTTACATTTTTATTTATACTCATTTAGTATTTTTGTTTCATTCATTTACAATAAAAAAATTTTGGTGGACTTGTGCCATGGGCACAATGTTTTTTATATACATATAACATTCTAAGTCAGTTAAAAATGTCATCATATACTGTTAAATTCCATTGCTCCATGAAACTGGGGCTAAGTACCAGTATGGAATAGGGGTGGGATGAAAACAACCTTGAAAAAGGTTGATACATTTTTGAGGTACAATCACCTATTTTCTGAATAATTTTTTTTCTTCAGGTACTTTTTTTTTTTTTTTTTTTTCCACTACAATTTTAATCTGAAATATAACAGATTTGATAACACATACTCAATAAAATCTTTGTATGTTTTTCAGTTCAGTATCCAAAACAATTTTGCATACCAAATATACTAAATAACCTCTCTTTAGATTGTAATATTAAAAATACACATAAATAAAAACTGAAATATTGCAGGGTCTTCTTTCTTTCATATAAGCTATATATCTTTCATTTCTCTAGGTCAGCTGCTGATGTATTATCAATTATTGCTGAAAGAGTCTATCAAGCTTTAGATACCTCAAAGGCATTTGACAGGATTTGACATGCTGGTATTCACAAGTTGAAAGATTAAGATATTTCTGAATGAATCATTGATCTGATTCAATCTTTCTTATCAAATCACAATGAAATGGCCACTTTTCTAGATCTTTTTGCATTAATACAGGTGTACTTAAGAGGTCTGTCCTTAGACCTATGCTGTTCCTAATTGTCATCAGTTCCCAACTCAGTATCTATACTGATGTCAACTATTTACTCTTGTCTTAATAGTAAGTCTAATTGGTTTAATAAGATCAAATTTGCAGCTGATCTCAAAAATGACCTACAATCTGTTAACCGGAGCAAGAAACAACTCCAAAATATGCAAACTGCTCTGTTTTAATCATCAGAGAGAACCTTTTTTTTTGCCTTCCATCAGCATGGCTGAGGCTAACCCCCAGGAGGATGACTCATTACACCTTCTAAGACTAACATTTTCTGCTGACATGAAATAGATTCTATTGAATCTATTGCTAGGTCTGCTGTTAGGAAAATTGGTTCACTATGTCATGCCAGACAATTTTTCTCACTAGAATCTATCTTAGACATTTATAAATCTATCATCTGTTCATGCATTGAATATTGCTGCTATATCTGATCTGGTTCTCTTACTTTATATCTAGATTCAAAGGGTGTCATGTTACCAGTCTTGACCTGGCATCTCAGATTCAATCACTTTCCCACCACCATTATATAATTTCCAATGGGCTTTCTTTGGTACCTAGGTTTTAAGAATTTAAGTGCAGTACTAGATTGGTAGCAAAGTATCATCATTTTATAATTGAAATGGCTAGATGTAAGTTCTATGCTAATAGTTTCTTTTCTTACACTGTTTGTGGAACACTCTTCTGGCTTCTTGCTTTCCAATCAACTTTGATCTTCAAAAATTTAAATGCAGTGTCAGTTGTTTTCCTGTTCTTTTATTGTTCACTCTGTTTAAAATTTTTTTTTTTTTTTTTTTTTTCTTATTTTCTCACACTAAGTGTTTACATATCATAAGTCTATAATTTAGTTGCCAAACAGAACCATGTTTAAATTTTCGGTTTTAACATTTTTAACTTCATCAGAGAGTTTTAACAAAAAAATTCAACTTTTAAAATATGTCAGACTTTTACTGAGATTTCTATTTTTTTAAGTAAAATGTCATTGATTCAATAAGTACAAATAGTTTTATTAACTTTCAATAGTAGTTTGAATTTCAGTAAACTTTTTAAAATTTACTCTTTTATCCCCAATATCCCCTTTTCTATATATATTGGGCAAAAATAATTTACATATTAGACTGTTTTCTAATTCTTGTTCTCAGTAGTAAAATGTTTCTGAAAATTTCAATAGATTTTGAACCTGGATATCAATCTTGCAAAGTCCATGAGTATATCTAATTTGCATATCATTTGAGAAATTTATGAATGTAAATATCTTTTAAGCTTCACTATGCAAGGTACAAGATCAAATGGTGATGGCTGGAGGTTTGTGTTGTGAAAGTCCTCCTCTATTTGGAGAGGACCTACGTTCCTTGAAAATTGGCATTTTGAAATGCTATTACCAGAGCTTGAACACTGACCACTTGCAAATAGGCATCTCAGCCTTTAGTAAAGCCAGTGTATGTATGCATTTATTTCTTTTGAGAAAATTATTAAAGAATCCTATCTGAATTTTGTTAATCATTTCTTCAGAATTTATAGTTCCTCATCAAAAAATGTAATTTTTATGCTATGTAACAAACAGTTAGACATGACCAAATAAAAATACATATTTATGTCTGGTGTCATATAAGTAATTGGTTAGAATATTTTTCATTTGTTGCAAGTTAACATATAATTATCTTCAATATGGCTTTTCAATTAAAACTACAAATGAATTTACTAATCTAAAACCAACATTTTAATTATTTCCATCTACTTGACAAAGTCTTTTAATTGAGTGTGATAATTAATTAGACATAATAATTACACTATTTCATTTTATTTTCCTGAATATAAATTAAGTTTTATCATTAGTTTTATATATATATATATATATATATATATGCACACACTATTAGTTTTCAATATATCTAAAACCCTTCAGTACAGGCCTATAAGATCTTGACAAAACATAAAATATGGTACCAAATTTATCTTGGTAGTTCAATTAGCAACAAAGTTATGATCATTCAAAGTTCATTAGTTTGTCATCTCCTGTGTTATTAAACCAAAAAGTCTATATAACTGAAGATATAGGCTTCAGACTAGTTAAAACTCATTATAAATGTAATGCCATATAGGTAGTCTTGAAGCAAAAGAAATATATTAATAATGGCATGAAAAATTGTGTTCTCAAAAACAGAATAGATAAGACATAACACAGAAGGGCACTTTTGACTGTTCCAATAAGTTTCATTTTAAAAGTTAATGCCTTGCAGCTTCTTGCTATGATTCATTGTGCAACAGAGATGAAGCTAATTTTTTTTTCACTAGTATATAAAACTCATTTACACCATATAAAAACACCTAGAAGCAGAATTTGGCAGTAGGCCAAGAAAAGTATACCATTCTGAACTTGCCATAAAAAAAGTCCCATATATACTCACGGATAGGTCGCACCCCTACTTTATGGCTTAATAATTGATGATTTACTGTTGACTCGCAGATAGGTCACACTATAATCTGGGGAGTTACACAGCCCTTTTTAAACGTAAGAATTATCAGGTATCTACCTTTTATTTCAAAACTTACAATTACTAATACACTTTTGCAGTTCAAATACATTTTGTCAATCATGTAAACAAAAGAAGGTAGCTGTTGTACCAGTATTTTTATATCGTTTATATCGAGTCAATTTGACAAAAAATAGAAATAACTACTGAAGAAAATGTTACGGTACATTTAGAAAAAAGTGTTATCTATTTTAAAACCTGCTTCATAACTTTCTTTTACTCAAGATTAGGGTTTGCAACAATTAAAATTATAAACTATAAATTTGGCTACACTGTGCAAACGTTTTGGGTACTAGATTCATCTGCTTTGTTATTTGTAAATAACTTAAGAATGTCTTTTAATGTTACATGAAATAACCATTAAGGAAAATTATCCCATAAAGAATATATTTCACTTCAAGTCATATTTTCCAGTGTATTTTTGACGAAATATATATATTTTGCAGAATGAATCGTGGGACTATTTTTTCTTTGTCAATAAACATCTACACCTTAACTTATGTATGCATGTTCAGGGTTTCTATATCAGTCTAGTAGTACGAGGGTCCCGACTAAACAGTGACTGAATGATCAATGAATATTTTATAAATTTATTTATTTATTGTGATGGATATGTGAACCTAGCAGCATGTGGCAAGTTTAAACCAGTGATTTTGTATATATGATAGATAAATTGTTTCTATATGGAGAAAAACCACAACGTTAGTATTTTATGTGTATCATTTCCAATTTCTCAGAAATCATGATGACAAGGTAGTGTTGTTTTACATTTATGTCGAGCAGATATTTATGAATTTTGTGGTAATTTTTGGTAAATCTATCCGTGAGTATACATGGTATCCCTTATTGATTTGGGGATGAAAAATTCAGTAAAACAGGTCTTTTCTCTGTAATATGAATACCTTTTTGCATACATGTATCTAATTTTTGAAAATTTGTGAAATTATGCAATTTTTAATTTATGAACAAAAGACAGTGATGACAACAACTTAGAAAAAATTTGTTTCATGAAATGAATCCTTGGTCAATCCTTCAAACACATGCTTATTGTAAAGCTTGAAACTCATTTATCTTCAAACTAAAAACAAACAAATGAATAAAACTACATTTATTGGAACATGCAACTCTCTTCTATAATCAATATTCCTGGTACACTCCATATTCTAGTATTGTGAGAAAGTGGGGTATTATATCAAAGTGTCTCATCTAAAAGCAAACATTAATGCTAATTGTGCAATATCATTCAACAAAGGCCATCAAAAATTATCATTTCTGTCTTTGGTTGGAACTAAAATTTTGATTACAGCACTCAACAGATGTGTGAGCTCAATGACTTTGTCAATGTAAATGTTGGAATAATAGTGTAGAGCAACCCATTGGCCTTGGTGCTTGTAACTGAATGTCATTAGAAGCAGTTCTTCTTTTTCACAAATGTTACAGTTTTTGTATCCACTGAGTGCCTTTTCTTCCTACCTTTGTCCCTTTAGAGGTAGACATGAAGTTCCATTAAAAGTTATATCAGTGAAATGTCTATTCCCTTCATCCCAGTTTTTAACTTTATCATCATACATGTAAATTTTTATAAATGTAAATTTTTTTAATCATCCAGGTAGGGATCTCTGATGTGGAAAGCACTAATACATAAAAAAAACCAAAAGGACCAAATACCTGCTTAAAAAAGATGTGGCTTCCATAATGCCATTATGATAACAGCTTATGGGGGGTGGGTATGAAAAGACAATGTAATTTTTTTTTTTTTTTTTAATGTAACAATTTCATTTTAACCTCTGAAATAAGACCTTACTAAACAATAAATCATTTAAAAAAAAAAACGGAAACTGATTACATTTTGAAAATTTATTACTTTTCAATTTTTTATGAATGCACGTGCCAAAATTTTATATATATATATATATATAGTTAATTTTTTTTTTTTTTTTTTTTTTTTTTTAAGTAAATGTATATAGATTTTCAATTTAATACCCAAATCCAAAGAAAATTATTTTAATTTTTTATGGGCAAATGTGAGAATATATTCAATTTATATATTCTCTATTTTAGAATATGAATTCTGTTTCATGATTTTTAAGAAAATGCATAAAAACAACAGCTACTGTGAAAGTGATTTTTAGCGTGACCATTTGGGCAAAATGCAATGAATAAGTACTTTATACAGTTTTAAAATGCATCAAATATTTTCAATTCATGTATGTTTAAAACTGATAAATTAGGGAGACCAATTTTTCTTAAACTCATCATCACTTTTGGTAAATTCCAAGTTTTCAGTTTTTGTATTTCATGATAAAATAGCAATAGACTATAATTATTAAGATGGTGAAAATGAAAACAAAACTCAAAAGTTTTATGACATGTAAAGAAATAGCGGATTATCTGCAATTAAAATTAAAAGAAAAGTAAAAAGAAATTGAAATCAAGAAACAAATCCTATACTAACATAACTAGATGATAAAACAATGGAATGTTGTAGTCCATAATTATCTTTGAGGTAGAATTCTAATCAAATTCCTTCTTTAAAAACAAATATTCAGATATTTCTGTTTTAATAAAAGGATTTGGATTCAATTGATATACACTTATTGATTCACAATATTGAAAAACCACAAAAATAAACAGCAAATCAGTTTAATCTCAATAAGTATCTGAATAAGTCATAAATTCTGACAAAAATTTAACAACTCAAATAAAAAAGATTATTGGATCATAGTAACAAAGTCAATAAACAAGTTAATTATACTAAATAAAACAACTGATCTCAAGTTGAATACTGTTGAAATTTGTCAAAAAAAAATACACTTGGGATAACACCACCATCCTTGTAAATGAATGCTAAATAGCCTAATTTTATGTAGGGAGAGGTCAACAAAATTTTTTTTTTTTTTTTTTTTTTTTTAAATCATCTCACATCTCTTGAGCCCTTACCACTGTTGTAACTCTTTTTGGAAGCCATTTTTGCTAAATAAGTTTTTGATCTTAAATGAGCAACACAAAGAATGTTAACACTATAGAGATAGAATTTGTATAAAATACAAAAAATTACTCTACCCTGGTTTTAGCACAAATTTATTGATATTAAGAGTTTTTTTCTTCTTTGAGGGAGGAAATGCCCACTATTCAAGGATGTGGATGGTTCAGTATATTCACTAGATTTGTCTATCTTGGCAATATGTTGCTTATTCATATCAGGAAAACATACAGTTTAGATGCTACAAAAAATTAAATCTTTAAAAAAATATCAAAAGTACTATAAATATATGTTGGGAAATAATAA